GTGTCACAATTGCAGTGCTAATAATTACAGGCAGTAAAAGCTAGAGACGATGAGGAGGGGAAAGATGATATTATTATGATTCCATTTTTTTGGGGTAATTTTTTCCTTTTCTGCTTTTATTAGGTTTAGGAGGGGGGGAAATAGGAGAGGGGATATCCTCAGATTTTCATTCCTCTATCAAAGAAGACAGATGAATTGCTATGAGCCACATCAGGAGAGGAATCCCACCTCCTTTATTTCTGTATCACAATAAGTATGGCTTTACCGTAAGGTATGAAGACACAATGACAGGTTAAGAACGAAAGGAAGTGAGATTGGGGGATGCAAAGAACTATGCGTTCCTTTCCGTATTTGTTTTTTCTTCTTGTTTTTGATTTTGTTTAAAAATGTATTCTCTGAATTGTCAAATACGCTCTTTCAGGCAAATATATCCTGAGGACATTTTCCAGACTTGTTATAGATATTTCCGATTTTCCGGTTTAGAATTACATGTGATAATAATAATATGTTAATTTTTTTCGTTCGATAATCGCCAATTTGTGCTCCAGTTTTGTCCCAAAAGCGTGGGAACAGCAGATGCTCAGACTGCTCAAACAGCAATGTGCACACACTATTACCCTGTTACAAGCCAAAAATCACCCATGACGTTTTGTAGACATATTATGATAATGACATAAAGCTTTTTGGTATCAGGGTTTTAACAAGTACTTCAATGATACCCCAAACGGATGCTCATCGTAAAGAAATGTATTTCTCTTACATCATACAATGTTGCGTTTACGAATGTCAATAAATTCCTCGTTTGCGCTCTATAAACGTATCATATACATCACATTGTTGGCAGGTAAGATCTCTCGCAAGCCGATACACAATCAGGTAATGTCATAACCATATGTTCACATTCAAACTGCACGTGCAAGTGCGTCGACTTTCTAAATAATTTTTCTTGAAGACATCGAATTCACACGGGCACATATTAATCATAAAAGAATTATCGCGTATCTTTATAACGGATCATACTCTTATAAAAATATTATTATACGATTTGATTTGAAGCGTTTTTACTCATCGGAAATCCGACATGATGACTTTATTTCCCGAAATCTTTGAAATATATTGCAAAAACTGGGAACATGCTGACGATATGTTCTAGCCATTTTTCATCGAGCGACAGATGATGCCAGGATAGATCTATGATGGAGGCAGACGGACCTTATTGCTGATTTACCGAGATGCTTTATATTACGTCATAGCGCAGACATCTTTTAGATCGTCGATTTTACGAAGAATTTGGGAGCCACAAAAATCAAATTTCCATGGGAGTCGGTAAAAGAGGCATTTCCACTTTCCTGTGTTTCTGTACATACATAAACTTGTGAGAACAGTCGCAGCCATGTAGTTTACATAAAAGCAAATCATGTATTTTTAAGAGTCTTAATCTTTAATATTATGAAGACATCTGTTATTGATACGTGTTTAATCACTGGATGGGATCTCGATTATTTATTCCTATCAAACGGGCCCTCCAAGAGGGATGCCATGTGAATTGTACCTCAAAGAAAATTAACGAAACAGCGCTCATTTAAAAAAAAAAGACTAAAAACCCCCCAAAAAACTATAGGAATACCAGAAGTGTTCAAGGTGTTCAGACATCATTAGCAGAAGACATGCAGTTTTTCCCTCTAAGAAAATATTGTTGTTTTACGAAGTCTTATATGTTTCAGACACCCACATTTAGTAATAAAGTTGAGTGCATTTCGAGCAAACACTCCCGATGAGCACACCAGTTCCCAGCATCTTTACTTCACAAGGAAAGTTTACGAGTTCCATGTGGAAAAAATGTCTACCTAACGCACGTACTCGTCTCTTGAAAGACCCATACCTACGTCCCATTAATTTTACGTCCCAATGCTGGATCTTTTAATAGATAAACAAGATCCAAATTTCTCCCAGGCCTCCCCACTCCCCCAAAAACACTAACTTGGTTGGTTCTAAGGGGATGTTTGTTAACTCATGTCGGTGATCTAGTGGCTAGGTTCTCCGACTCTCAACAGTAAGGTCGGGGGTT